CAAACACAGATATCCAGCTTCTGTGGGAGCTGGAGCAGAAGACTCTCTGGCTGGTCTCGAGCCAGCTCTGGGTAGGTCACCGCACAGGTAAGGACCCCTTCCTCTGTGTGCCACCCTTTCCCATCCTCAATCAGAGAACTTCTCCAATTGGTCCGCAGCTACTTACTTTTCTGGTTTTCCCCACAATACAGTGAGCTCTTTCCACGTCTCCAGATGCTCACTAAGGGTCTGACTTGTTCTGAGAACAAGTTCTCAGAAATGGATGGACAGGGCTGTGGATTTAGCTCAGTGGTGCCACCGCCTGCCTTACAAGCACAAGGACCTGAGTTCAATCCCCGGTATCAGGAAAATAAAAAGCAGAAATGGATGGAAAGAAGGATGGACAAGTGATTGAACGAGGTAGGGAGGGAAAACATCTGGTACAGGGGGTCTGGTTCCCTTAGGGGAATTTGCTCCTGTGCAGAGTTTAGCACAGTGCACCAGGCAGGATCTGTGGGTATGTATGCCTCTTGGGCACGCCAGACCTCTGGCTTAGATTCCACCCATGCTGAACAAAAATTTCAGTGACTAACAACCACAGCCTGGAGAACAGGGCGGTTAGAGGGTAGCCACTTCCCTGTTTCCTTGGTACTCAGTAAATGCTCTGATTATAAGCAGTTCTCATGGAGCAACACAGGGTTCCACAAAGGTCTTTCCTGCACTACATGGAACCTTAGTGATCTATCAAGTCACTGGTGAGAAGGCAAAAGAAAAGGTGGGAGGATCACAAGTTAGGGGCCAGCCTGGGGAACTTAGCAAAGCCCTGTCTCAAAACGAAATTATAGAAAAAGGACTGGAGATGTAGTTCAGTGGTAGCATGCAATGCACAAGGCCTTGTGCTCAACCCCCTCGATCAACCATAACACACCAAAAAAAAAACAAAAACAAAAAAAAACAACAACTCTACCTTACAGAACTTGTAATTTAGTTGGGAAACAAATGAACTAACCAGTGAATGAACATTAGAAACAGAGGGAAAGTCAGGCTGCAAAGAGAGACAGGAAGGATCAGTACTGGAGGATGGGACTGTCATTTTAAACAGTGTTCCAGGAAGGCTTCTCTGAAAAGGTGACCTGAAGGCAGGGGACACCTGTACACTTCTTTCAAAAGAGCATAACCAGTAGGGAAAGGTCTTGAAGCAAACCTGAGCTGACAACTGAGGAGTCAGGACTGATGATTCCAAAGGCCATTGACCAATCCTCAAGTGTGCTCTCTACTTTCTGCTTCCTTTCAGTCTTCAAAGCTGTACTGAATTGAATGCCTGCCACCCCCTGCCCACCCTACCATCTCCTTTACTTCTGCACACAGGCATCTAATCTCTTACATCTTCACCTGACTAACCCTGCTCGAAGCCTCCCTGGCTTTGGCCACCCTCTGCTCCAGGTGGGCTTGGATTCCCCAATTCAGATCACTGATTATAATCTACCCAAGTAAGCTGGTGCTCCACCTGCCCTTCCACCAGACCATTAGTATCCACCTGCACCGTCAGTCTGAACTCTCACAGGGTGGTAAGCATTCTTTACAGATCTCCAGCTTCCCACTGCTACCAAGGTGCTTGTGTGTAACAGCAAATGCTGCACTAAATACCCCCAAATGATGAATGCTTAATGCATAAGTGAGTTCAAGGGCAGGGCCCAGGTCTGACTCATCTCCGTAGTCCCAGAAGGTAGCAAAGAGCCTGGCACCATAGAAGAGACACCAGGAGTGCCACATGGATTGGTGTCTGCCCTGGTGTTGGCATTTTATCCAGACTACCACATTGTCCTCAGTCCCTGCCCATGGACTTGCGGGGCCGACACAGATGTGGTCCTCTGGGGTAGGGTGGGTTCAGAGGTAGGAAGCACAGTTTATGCCTATATATGCTGTGGAGTTTTTTTATTAGAATCTGAATTTATCTCTAAAAAACCTTAATCTCATCCTTACACTTCTATGCCCGGAGATAATTTGGTGTTTAGGTCATGGTTTTTCCAAGCTACCCATTTTGAAAATCAAAACCTAATATAGAGAGCCCTTCAAAGCCATGGAGGCTATGGATGGTGACTGCTACTGACAGCCAGGCAGTAGGGATGGCAGATGTTTCTGGTCGGCTGTTGTCTTTGAACCTGACAGCAACATGAGCATAAGTTTGTACCTCATGGCCTCCCATCTTTCTTTTCGGTGTAGAGAGGAATTTAAACATCTTTCACATAGAAACACAGAAAACCAGAAATGAGTAGACTTCATCTAAGCCCACTCTTTACTTTGACAGGTGGGGACAAGTGGGGTCCAGAAAGAGAAGTGACGACAACAATGCTGCAAAACAAACACAACTGTGTCCACTTTGCAGGTGAATACGATGAGTTTTTCATGCTGAGTATCCCTCAGGGTTTCACACCATTTGGTGCATGGCCAGTGTGAGTCCACATGTGTCTGACGCTAAAGGCAAAAGCTGTCAATACCACACCAGCTGATTTCAATGTGGTACTCCAGGGAAGCTGTGAATCACAGGCAAATTAGTAAAAATACAAGGTGCCCGGGGGCGGGGCAGGATCTGGCACTTCTGGGAGTGCAAAGGTAAAAGCTCTGGGGAGGGTCCAAGGCTTCTCTGAATGATGCAGGTTTCCCACCTCCTCTGGCACGCAGCCCCAGGGTCCTTCAAACTTCTTTTAGAAAGCTTTGCAAATCAGACAACAGACGTTATAAGGGTTAAGATTTCTGGGTAAAAATCACATAAAACCAGCCCTGGTAAAAAACACCATTTTCATTTTTGGCCCTTTGCTTCAGAGGTGGTTGTAGAGAAAGAGGTAAAGTCAGAGATGTATGCATGGGTATACGCATGTAGAGTGCCTATGGGTTGTGAATGCTGAATGTCTGTATATTTGCAAGAGTACATTAGACTGACTGGGGTGCACATGACCAGAAGTGGGGGCTGTGATAACACATTCCTGAGGGGAAGGATTAGAGAGGCTCTTCTCCCTCTCTCTTCCTTTTCTCTCTCCATCCCTTCAACTCCTTCCAGCAATGCAAAGGCACTGCAATTTTCCTCCTCTCTTGGAGAAGTGCAAACAATCTTTAATCAAAATACATTCCTCTTCATGCCTCCCAGCAATTCCTTGCTGCAGCTATGACAGCTGGGAAGTGGGTGGTGGGGAATGGGGGGGCCTCCCCCATTAAAGCAGATCTGGAGAGAGGCAGGTGTCCTCCAGGTGGCATTGAAATTAGGCTCCAGAGCTTTTCTTGCCTAAGTTTGTTCTGAAGAGGTTTTTGTTTGCTTTGCTTCTTGTAGTTTCATACAACAAAAAGAACACATAATAACAACACTAGGCTCGGAAAGACCAGCCTCCAGCATCTTTTCTGTCTCACACTGGCTGTGGAACTTCTGTGACTTAATTTCCTAGATTCAACTTTACTTCCAGAAACAAGATAATTAAAACACTTCTCGCCAGGATACTGAAAGACACAGTTCTCCCATGCAGGCTGGATACAGTGCTTGGTACGAAGAATGCCCTTACAACATGTGCCCCAAACACAGCCCCATCCTCACCTTCTGAGCGGCTGTGAAGGGTTCCTGCCCAGTGTTGACATTAAAATAATCCAGTACTTTTGTCTTGGAACAAAATAAAGGGGCATGAAAGAAATGAGCACATCCCCAACTCCGCTGAGCCTCTCACAAAACACTGAAATTACATTTATAAAATTGCTTCCAGCCCCGAGTAAAATATACACATGGAGCAGGAACCTAAATATCTTTGCTAAATTATCCTTTCTCAGAGCAAAACAAAAACAAAACAAAGCAAAAATGGAAGAATGGAGAGGGAAGTGCTATTTCTGAATACATAAGTTCTAGTTTTAAAGTTTTTAAAGTGTTGGGCCACCTTTTAGCTCTTGGTCTTAAGCAGCAAGAAGCCAAAGGCCTCTTTGAAAAGACGTGGGAGAAAGCAAAACAGACAATCTCTGTTGTTTTTCTCCAATTCCTGATTATGTTTTCAGAATAAACTGAAATCAAAACACTCTTTTTCCAAACAGCTTATGCTCTCCTGAGTTACGTCTGCCCTCCAGTACCCTGTTGCTCTGAACTGCACCAAAGCAGCTGAAAGCAGGAAGGGCCCTGGCATGCAGACCTCATTTAAGGAGGGAAGGCAGGGACGATGACCATATTCCACCAACAAAGAAAAACAGAGCAGCTCCTGTCATCCTGCAGCTGGGGCAGGCATCAGGCGGAGGCTGTGCACCTGCACCCTCCCTGCACCAGCAGGAAACCAGGGCAGACACAGCCAGGCAGGGGCGATGAGATCCAAATCACTGTTCACCACTGGCTCAAGGAATTGAAACATGCTTAGGACCATAGTCTTTGGATTCAAGAAATGCAGACACAGTAGAGTTCTGAAGCTACCCACGTGTGCTCATGGATGCAAAAGAACTTCAGGCAACTCCAGATCGCTCTCAGTAGCCTGGTACTGAGGGTCCATCAAGCTTTTCCATCAGCAGAGCAAGGAGGAACGCCAGTGAATGCAGGAGTGAATACTGCAAGGAAGTGGAACCGAGGGCTAAGACTCCAGTGATAGTTTTAGTGTTTATGCAAGTTCAGGTAATTCACTTGGAGTTTCCAAGCCTTACTTAGTAACCTTTTCCCACAATAGAGAGAGTATTTTTATAACACAGGTTATTTGTACTAAGGATCCAACGACCTAATGGGTTTTTAGAAAGCAGTGCTTGTACCATAAAATATTACACAAATGACCAGAGCAGTGAGTGCGTAATTTCAAAATGGGCGCACACAATCCTTATCAAGCAACGTAGTAAACACTATTTTTATCTGAAAACTGGAAAGCTTGTATTGTAAAACAACTTCTGCTATGGCAGAGGTAGAGCTCAGAATGAAACCTAACTGTCCTGGCTAAACTCTCTCTCGGGGATTTTACAGTGAGATCAGTTCCTGGTTATTCTGAGGGACTCGGGCTAGGACAGGACTGTGTACTTACCACCAGATACAGCATCGTGTACATGGAGAAGGAGGCATGGCCAGAGAAGAAGGACTTCCTGTAAGAGCAAGAGAGGGCCACGAAAGGACACAGTTACATCCCTCAAATTCACTTGTCTGTCTGTCTTCCCTCACTAGACTGTGACCTCAAAAGCAGGCTTTGCCTCTTGCTCATTTTTGCATCCTGGGTGGTGCTTTGGACAAAGGTAGGCATGAATAAATAAAGAATGAACAAACGAATGGATATACCAATGCTACATCAAAATGGTGTCTTTACACTCTGTTGCGGTCATTTGGCTACAAGTTCCTCCAGAATAGGGAATATACCTTATTCACCCATGTGCACCAGAGCACAGCCTGGGACCTGGCTCGGTCAGTACTCACTGAACTTCCCTGCATTGGAGGGGGCCCCCAGAGGCCATGGGAAGGAGGTGGCTCACCTGGCTTCCTGAACTTTGCTCTCAGGGCCTCTGCATTGGTAGTTCTGAATGTAGCCCTGGGAGCAGTTGATCTGGCTGATATCAGGGTCGCAGACACTGAGGAAGTGGGGACGCAGGCGCCCTATGGACACTTTTGCTATGTCGGTGAAGGACTGGCTGATGGCACAGCCAAAGAGGAAGCAACCCACTTGCTTATAGAGGGCTGCCACGTAGGGATTCTGAATCGTGGACCGGGACTTCTCCTTCAGGTAGTAGATCCGGTAGAATTCTCCTGTGATGATCTAGAAGGAAAACCGATAAGGGAATTAGGAATATCAAGACCCACTGCCACAAATGATGCTACATTTAATGACACAGGAGAATGTTCTTATTTAAGTACAGGCTACAATCTAGAAAATTTCAATTGTTATTTAAGAAGGATACAGATATAAATACTAATGGGAACATGATCAAAGTGCTAACATGGGCATTATTTCCTTTTCTGAAGTCCTGCATGGCCGTATAATGGCTTTACCATAAGAAAAATGTGTGTGCGTGCGAGTGTGTGTGTGTGTGTGTGTGTGTGTGGAATAAGAACTTAGGTACAGGAGGGGATGGGGATAAAAAAAAAATTGAGATGTGGTGTGCACACGCTCCAACTCCCCAGGAGGAGTGGAATCATTATGTACTGCAAACATGGACTAATTTTAAAAATTGAAAAAATAAAAATAAAAAGAGAACCTATACACAGCGGAAAGTAGATGAGGAATCAAGAACATCAGAGCATTCGAAAAAATCTTGGCATTCTGAGATTTGGGGTGGAGAGTCATCACCTGATGCTTCATCAGCCTTTGAGCTGACATGGAGCCTGGGGTGGGGGAGTAGCTTACACACCCCAGTCAGGTCCAGAGTCTGAATCCGGGCTCAGCCACTTGCTGATGTCCTTCAGCAGTAACTCAACCTCCCCGGGCCTCAGCCTCTTTCCCGATAAAGGAGGCTGCTCACGTTTTCAGAGTGTTGTGTGCATGTGACAATATGGGTGGGAACGTGCGGGGTCACAGAAAGGGATGCTTTGATGTTACTTTTTAGAAGAATGTTGTTGCGGAAAGAACGCATGTCTAAAAGCAGAAACTTTTACTACACTGGCCTTGGATGTTCATGAACGTCCTCAAGTCCCTGGTCCTCATACCCTTTATCCATCCCACTGTGACTGTTACTGGCCTGAGCCTGCCTGGTTTACATTAAGCATGAGGCCAGCTGCCACTGTGTCAGGTGAACTTTGAGGACATCTACACAGCAAAAGATCAGTTTTGCTTTGGTGACGCACACGCATGCCGCCCACTCCCCTTGTCTTAACACATAGCACAGTGTTGGCCACTTCCTGGTTGCAGCCACAGCACAGGACAGTGACGGTCAACTTATCGCTTACCGCAAGTCCCTCTCATACTTCCTCAAAGGGCAGGATGATGAGCCTCACTTGCCTTTTCAGGGAGCAGAGAGCGTATTCGTGACCACAGAGGAAGCAATAGATATGCACATCCTTTGCAAGGGCTCCCACTCTTCTTTGCAGTGGAGGAAGCCATCAAAACAAGTCTCACCAAGGTCCTCCAGGGCCCCAAAGCGTGGACAAGGACAGCACATAGGATGGAACAGCAGCCGGGTCCCGTGACCAACAGGTAGGAGTGAGACTAGCTATTGCCACTGCTGAGGCTGACACAGGGACTCCATGTTGATAAATGCTTTGTATGTGGAAGTACCACACTGTGTTTTTTCAGGTTGCATCCAGTATGATTGCGTGGAGGGCCATTGTCAAAGGCCAGTACAGGGCTGGGGATTTAGCTCAGTGGTTCTTCCACTTGCCTCGCAAGCACAAGAACCTGAGTTCAATCCCCGGTACAAAAAAAAAAAAAAAAAAAAAAAAAAAAGGCCAGTACAGCCAGCATCCTGGCCTAGCCGCTTCTGGAGCGAGCAGAACTAATGTCTAAGCCTGCACAGTTGCTCCAAGCCTGTCACTGAAGGAAGAAGGGAAGGGAGGGGAGCAGGAGAGGAGTCCTCAACATTACCACATTGCAAAATTGGAAATATCCCCTAAACATTACCAATGGCCCTTTGATAACACATTGTAGAGATTAAAATCTAAGAAGCGTGGCAAGTTAGACATGAAAGTGCCATTATATACAGAAGAAGCTAAGGTCCAAACGAACTCATGTTCAAAGATTAGACCCAGGTGTACTGAGTCCCAGCCCAGCATTCTTTCCTACCATTCAGGATTTCATTCCCCTTTTGAACCTATTTATACTTTTACCCTATGTAACCTTACAGGCTAACAAGTTCCAGATGTTCATGCCATAACTCGTGTTCTCGTACTCTTTCTTATTTTTCTTTATTTATAAATCATATTCACATCTTTAACTAGGAGTCAAGTGGCCAGCATTGGAGTACTTCCTCACTATTGAGTGAATCTGAGATAAGTCAGATTCTCCATTTGCAAAGTTATGGTGCTAGATTTCACGATTTATTACCTCATAACTGCAATGACATTTACTCTCAACTCTCTGGTGCTACCTTCATCACCAGCTTCCCAACCAATCTAAGGTAATATGCAATAGTGGAGGAAAGTTCCTTATGAAAAACACCACAGGCAAAGAACCCAACTGAGGCTCCGGGAAGAAGCCCTGCCCTGGATTGCTCCAGAGTTCTGGGAACCACAGTCCTGCTTGAGATGCAGGAACTGCTTCTAAGCAGGCTGGGCTGGAGCATAATCTACGTGATTTCCTGTTTGATGCTGAGAAAGAAAATCTATGGGCTTCTACTACAAAATTATCATCTCTTACCTTACTCACCACTCTCAGGTGAATTACCCCTGTGCCTCAACCACTTTAGGGAAAGGGATTTGACTACACTCTAAGGACTCCACAATTCTAACCTTTCCCTTCATCATTCTAAACTCCCATTGTCACAGTGCCACAGTTTTCAAATAGTACACTGTGAAATGAAGTCCTTCTTCCTCTCATAGGAAGACATGAGGAAAACATTTTATGGCATTCTCAGATTCCTAGCTATCTTCATAATAACAGTCATCTCTTACATTTCCTCCATACTTTGGTTGCATCTAGTCTGCAACGCTGAGAAGGTATACCCATACCACAGATGGGGAGTCCAAGGCTCCTTTACCACAAGCTTCCCATCCAAGCAAAGGAAGCACAAAATAGTAGCGGGAATTTACTTATGAATAGTGCCACAGGCAAGAAGCAGACCAAGGCCCAGGTAACACAGACAATCTGAAACTACAGGATTCAGAATCAAGTCCAGATACTCCATCTCAGGCTCAAAGACCCACAGCAGGCTACATGGCGATAAGGTTATTATTTCTACTGTTATTAAAACCATTTTCCTTGGTAGAACAGCAGTTTTATTTTCAAGGCCAGGGACAGGCTGAAGCCATTTAGCAGACACACGACTCCAGGACCACATGGCTTCTGGGGCAGCCCTGACAGATTTCAGAGTTAATGAGCAACAAATTATGTATTTTCTTTATCCTCTTGTACAGAAGGGTCGGGGAGTCGACAACAGAGCCATAAATCATCATTATGAACCAGCTGGACTTGGCTTCTTGTAATCCTAACCTTTGAAAGCCCATTTAATGAAAGTTGGGCAGTGAGAGGCAGCCCCAACCCCACGCCTCTATAGGAGAGGTGAAGGCTTATTCTGAGGCTCGTTCCACACCAAACTCTGGAGTCCCAGATTTACTGCTTTCGGACTTTATTCATTACTCACAATGTTTTCATTCCTGGGTAATAAAATGAGCTCTTCCCTTCGACACCCCCTCCAAAGGCTCTGTCCCCAGCCCAGAGCCCTCCTTTCTGTGAAAGTCAGCAAGGTTCTGATATGTAAATCTCACTGCTGAGTAAAAGGCCTTTTAGGTCAGCCCTTTCTGAGACAGCAAGTAAGAGAGAGCAAGCAACAGATCTACAGATTCTTGGGGTGATGGCTGGCTGCCAGGCAAGCAGACCCTTCTCTCCTACCTGCCTTTAAAAGTGTTTGGCATGGCGTCTGGAAACTCATAAAGTGAGAAAGCATGGCAATTAAGGTACAAGGGGACAGAGGGATCAGTCCCGCCCGCCTATGAGCTGCAAGGGTTGGCCGGGAAGTTGTCTCCAACTGGAGTCAGCGTCTCTTCCTGTCTTTTCTGGAGAAAAGGAGCTCAACTGGCCACATGTTTGCAAACATTTTACCATTTTACCATGCAGAGGAAATCTGGAGGAACAGTAAGACAGACTCTTTTGGAAAGGACCAGGAGTGAGGTAAGAAGAAAAAACACTAACTTAGGAGCTAACAAAAAAATTTCAGTCTGAATCCCATTTGTGACTGCAAGTCTAGTGACTTCACCTGTCTGGTTCAGGAGTCACCATCAACAAAATATGATTAATAATATCTACCCGGTGGGGTTGCCCGGGATTCAGTTAAGTGATACAACATCTGGTATCTAGGCACCCTCCAATGTTCATGCCGCCCCCACTGGAGAAGCGGGGGAAGCAAAAAATGAGCACATACTTTGTAGAGAGTTATCTCCTTTACTTCCAGAGCTCCTGGGAAAAGAACGCTCCAAACTAAAGAGTTTGGAAATACAACAACTCCTAGGCAGGGGCAGAAGCAGAAAATATGTGCATGGTTGACCTTGGTTTTGACCATTTCATCTAGAATGGCTTTTTCAGGGAAGAAAATCCAAAGAAACCTGAAGCAGAAAGGTCAACCTTCTGTGTTATTTTTAGTATTCCGTTCTACTTATAAATCACCCCCCCAAGTAATATTTTTGCACACAATGTCCCAATAATCCTTCTTTTACAGCCAGAGAAGGCATCTTCCCTGCTGTGTTTGAAGGACAAATTTGCCTACCCTCCGATGTGCTTTGACAGTAGTATTTGTGCAGCACTTCATAACTTACAAAGCACCTTTGCGTTGCCTGTACTGCTTCTCTGTGAGTTACTAAATTAGTACCAACACTTTTTAAGTGAGACTGGCTAAAGCCAGAGGCTAACGATTTACCCTCAATGGAAAATGAGGCAAGGCCACATGGTATGATGGGCCCTGAAACCTGGGCCTCTTCTGACTCCTGAACGCTTCCAAGTGGCACCAAGCTGGCTATCGATCTGACATCCCAGCAGGTAGCCGTATCTCTGCCTCCAGAGACACTGAACACCTGGTAAGGGCCTGAGACCACCCCCTCAAGGTACCTGTATAGCTAAGTCCTTGACAGCCACATAGTTGCCAAGTTGCTCTTTTACATCAGTTACAGGAGTGG